GGGACGTGATATTATGTTTGTCAGTTAAATTTCAAAATAGTCCGTGCAGATCATGATGATTATGGTGGATGATTTCTCTCATGAATGTATTTATAAAAACTATTTTGCCGTGCTTTAGGATTAGATTACATACTAACGGGTAAAGGTAATGCATACCTTTCAACGTAACGAATGACAGCCAGGGAGAGCTATGGAAGCCAAGATAGCAGTCGGTGACTCTAAAAACTGCAAATACTGAGTCTTTTCATCAGTTGAGACTAGTACTACGTACTTCCAACCATCTTAACAATGCATTCCAATGGTTTTTGATCAACTATGAATGATGGTCATCTCACGACGCTCAACCTGATTGAATCAAAATGTCCACGGTTTGTTTCACTGCTAGATCGTATTTTTCACGAGTGCTTCTTGTACAACGATCATATTGAAAAAGTGATGTCTGTGTGCAATTCATTCGAAAAATCAGAATGAATGGCAAACGAAGGGAAGAGATATATTTCATAAGATGTGAAAGTTCTGGATTCAAATTCTACTACAGATATTCCAACAAAGATTTATAGTGTTAAAAGAGAGTAAATTGATCCATTGTGTCCTTAGTTTAGTGCATGCCGTATTACTCCATCACTATTGAGAAATGATGAAGTATTCGATTTTTTTACAGTTGCCACTCTTGCATTTATCGAAAGGATCCGATTCTCCGGATCAGATCTAATTGAAAGGTCCCGCTATTTATACCCTTCGGAGAATTGAAACACCCTCCAAAGGCGCGCCTCTTTGTCAGTCAAAATAGGATTCTTTAGCAACAAAATTAAGGTATGACACCGATAATGACCATGCATCAGAACCCTAGTCTTAACCACTTCAAACTAGGGAACAACGAATAGAAGATTAGGAATCACATAGATGAAGACAACTAACTCATTTTTTTCCTTGTTTCAAGATCATCCTCGGTAGACAAAGCCGAGTATTGTCACTATCATCAAGGCATAAAAAGTAACAAGGACTAAGATGTGTTCCTTGGATTACTGAAAAATCCTGTTCCCTTAGTTTGAAGTATTCAGGACTAGGAATCGGTGGTAGATCTTACATCCCGTAACGTACCACGAAAAGGTGATCTACCCACGTTACGGGGATGGTTCGAAGTTAGTACCACTTACGCTATCGTGCAACTTGGACCACGCTCCTCTCAACAAGATTCGAAACAGCTTGCTTCGAATATTTCCTCCAGCACTTCAATTTTACAAAATTATCATTATCGTTACCATGGTCTAAGACATTAATCACAAATGGAATCAAAATTTGAATAAACGTGGTCAATTCAAGTTATGTTGTGCCTGGAAATACGCATATATTCATTAACCGTTTGCTCTAAACGCTCCTAATGATTCGAATTATGGTTATCACCCCAATTAATATTAAAATCACCTCCAAAACTTCAACAAAATGCTGGGAGAATGATTCAAAACACCGTAATTACCCATCTTCATGCCACGTGCAACTGTAATGCCCAAGAACCAGTTGCCATCAATAACAACGTTGGTACGAAAGTTGAATTGAACTGATTCTTTGACATAAATAGCAACACCGCCAGTGTGTCTAGAATGTGATAAACAAGTAGCACAATATATCCCGGAATACTATACTGATCAAAAGCTTCAGTTTCTACAATGTGAGTTTCAGATAATAAAATTAAAATAGGACGTTTTTCCTAAACAATCTGACGTAATGCTACGTAGTTTGTTGACAACCCCGCAATATTCAAATACAAAATATCGAATTGATTCACATTCCTGGAACTTGGCTGATATTTATTGAAACGCAAACTGCTTTTCTTCTGATCAAAAAGCCTTTTTATAGAGCAAACATTCCGAACTAAATGCGGCATGGTTGACGTCCAAGTTCATTTTTCGTTCTTTAATCATTTTCAAACAATTAATGCATTTCAATACAGTTGACGTACACTCCGACATTTTATATTGTTGGCCGCACCTACACGCTAACTTGAAAGTACCCATTAATGGTTGAAAAAGACCCATTTTGAAGAAAAGTGGCTTAACTCATTAAATGAGTAAATTTTTTACCCATTAATGAGTATCTGTTACCCATTAATGAGTAATTGTTAATCATTAATGGGTAACAGATACTCATTAATGGGTAAAATTGTTTAATCATTAATGAGTTAAGCCACTTTTCTTCAAAATGGGTCTTTTTTTACTCATTAATGAGTACTTTCAAGTTAGCGTGTAGAGCATCTTTCACAATTTTTGCAATCCATGCTCTTGTGCCCAAATTCTCCACAATTGAAGCATCTCAACACATTAATCGCGGGAACTATCGAGCACCGATCAAACCCTACATTTACTTTTTTGGCACATAACAAACATTTATACGTATCGACATCGACTTCAATTACAACACTAAACTTGTTATAAGTGAAGCGTGGATTTTCAAACATGTTCACTACTTTTACATCATTAATAGCGATGTCATTGGAAGAATACTGATCGCTCATGCCCACTGTATTCAATCTTGGCACCGAAGTGGGAACAACAAAACTATAGTTTTCACCTCGGTTTTCACCCAGATTGCTTTTAGTACCGTTTTTCACATCACTTACATTTGCTCCTGTTGCACACTCAACAATAATCTTTACCATTCCTAACATTACTGATTTTGTGTGTTTTTGGATCCAACTGAGTTTTCAAAAACTTACGAGTATCTTCGTAAGGTTTTTTGGACTCTTTCGGTTTTATCACAATGACCGGATTATCTGGGTAACTCTTTATTTGTTCCAAATTCAAAATAAATTACATTTCATTTTAACCTTGGTGCTCCAGTTACTACAGTTACTTATTAGCCTTAATTGTTATGATATATATCTAAGTGTTTTTACATTGTTCCTGCCTTGGCAATTTAGTATTTTAAACAGTTCAGTATAACATTTGAATTCTTAATACTAAAAACTAAAACTAAATCTTATCTAAGTATAAAGGGAATTAATCGTTGCAATTGAGGATTGCAACGATTTTTGCCTGAAATTATTAATTATTTTGTTTGTCATGGATACCAAAATTAATTAAGTGGAATTAAATGGAAGATTACCTTTTTTGCTGTTTTATTTAAGCATTCCGCTAACAACCCAATTTCATTAAATATAATGAACAAGAGTGTTTTTGATTTCGATTATCAAATGTCCTCGTTCAATATTTTAATATTTAAAAAGTTTACATTTTTCATAAGCTTTAATTAAAAAATCTTATGAAAAATGTAAACTTTCGAAATACTGAAAACCTTGGTCAGCTAAAAATTAAAAAATATCATAGAGCATACACTTTTGGTTAAATTTTGAAGATAAGTTTTGTATTTTTTTTCAAAGAAAATGGTTTAAAAGATCTCAAATATTGTTTTCGGTGGAAAATTCAGAAAAAAGCGTCGTAACAAAGTTACAATATTTCACCAAAAGTTGATGTTCTACGATTTTAGTCAATTTTTAATTGTCCAAAGATTTCAATATAACAAAAGTTTGTATTTTTCATATACTTTAAAAAAAATCAAAAATATTGAACAAATACTTTCATTGTTTTTTTAAAACTTTGATCACCTTTTTGGATTTTTTTTTCAACAAAATTTAAAAAAAAATAATAACCGTGTACATTTGTCTAGAAACACTTTAATTTCCCCTACAATCTTTATCTTAACCAGGCATGGAAAATCATTTGCATTCATTTCATACATTCATTTACATTCATTTGCCTCTAACTTTTTACATCAACAGCATTCCGCAAAATGATGTAAAGAGCTTTTGTAGGTTTTGTTATTAACTTCTAGTTTTGGAAATAACTCAAATCTGTATCTCTTATGCATCACAAACTACAGCGGGCAGAACTTGTTACTATTTTTCAGTGAATGTAAAATACATTCACTGAAAAACAGTAGTGGCTTATGTTCGCTCTGCTTCGTCATGCATAAGAGATACGGATTTGACTTGTTGATAAAAAGTTGTAGCTAATAACAAAACCTACAAAAGCTCTATACATTATTTTGTGGAATGCTGTTGAAAAAAAGTTAGAGGCAAATGAATGTAAATCAATGCACGAAATGAATGTAAATGATTCTCCATGCCTGATCTTAACTGATGTCGATTCGATTAGAAGTGACAGTACTGTGATTCATTGAAAAAAAAATTGCGAAATTCAAAATGGTCGAATTTTAGCACAATTATTGCCCATAACAAACAATAATAACAATTCGAGAAAATAAAAAATTAAATTCATTTTTTTTTTGTTATTTAGCCTGGAACTGCTCTAACGCAACTGCATTCAGTACCAATTCACGATGGTAAAAAATCTATCACCATACAGACTCGTGACTTTCGCAGGTTCAGTTCTCGCCTACAATTTTTCAATTGAACTAGGTATGTGATGGCACAAATACCGATGTAAAATTAAAACCAGTGGCAGCCAATTTTTTTTTTAAATTATTAGCAAAGTTTCTCAAGAGTGTGTCTATCATAGTCTTTCGAAACACTAAGACTAAATTGGTGGCAAAATGCTTAAACAAAATAATAAAATTGATTAAATTGTAAGAATTTGAACAATCTCAAATCATCTGTAATTCCTTTAATGGAAAGCCTAACTCATTCTGATCATATTTGAATGTCCCCCTCACCTGCTTGATCCAATTTTAACTTTCCATTTTATCGATCTTCATTTCTACGGACCGCAAAGAAGAGAAAATCCTACCCGTAGTGGAAAATAGAAACATATCCAACCGCATAAAATAAATATAGAAGGAAAAACTGCATGTCTTTTGGTTTCCCACTTTTTCCCTCATTTAGTAGAACACTTGTCTCGGAAACCGGGCCCGTTCAAACCAGCCTCAACAAAAGCAGCAGCAGTCAACCGAGTGCAGTGCAAATCACTGTCCATGCCTCGATCAACGGTCTCACGGGACCGGAATCTCCGCTTGCAGCCACTGGCTCAGTACCGAAGCCAGTCAGTCTTAAATTAGCGCTGATGAAAGCAAGAGCTTCCATTCCGCCTTGATTTCGAAGAAAAGTGACTTGCAGTTGCAATCACGGAAAATTAGTGTGAGAACTTGTGCATACCGAAGGACGGAGATCAAAAGTGCTCGAATCTAAACATGAAACTAGCTCGAATAGCTTTGTCCCTTCTGCTGATAGTGGCACCCTCTTGCAGTGAGCTTCGGAAGACGTTCCACAGTAAAATAAGTGGCTCGAGCAGTCGGTTCCTGTTCCATCAGCATCATAATGGACGCGATCGAGGGCACGATCATCATCATCAAAGCTTCAAGAAACAACTGGAATCAACTACGATAAGCGAGAATGATCTTGAAGCGACTACCACTCTTCCGGCTCCGGAGAATACCCCGGTGCCGGCAATGTCTTATGAGAAATCACTTCCCTTGAGGGCGCTTAATTGCATGGCCAAAGTGTCCATCTTGGATTGCAGCAAGCTGTACCTGTTGCAAAATATGGAATCGCTGAATTATCAGTTTGCAACCAGTGGGAATTTGACTTACGACGTGCAGCAGATTTTGCTTCCCTCGTATAAGCGACCGGACAATAAATTGTTCGAAGACCGTCTGCTGCAGCTCAACTCGACGGAGGTCGATCGCCGAATCAATCAAGGTCTCACTCTGCTGTTCAATGAACGTCAGGTGGACATCAAATTCCTGCCAGGATTCGGGCTTCAACTAACGCCCACCAATAGTGACACGCTGGAATTTTCAATCAAAAATGAATTCACCACAGCCAGTGAGGAAGGTCGCGGTCGGGATGAGAAGAAGGATCGCGATCGCAACAAGAACAAAGGCACACGAAAGGTGATGAAGCATTTGCTACGGCTGGGAGTGCCCACCGTGCTGTTGCCTACGATGCTGTTGGCTGGGGTGCTACCGATGATGCTGCCGGTGTTGAAGTTTGCGACGATTTTCACCAGCTTTGTAAATCATGCTGCGCTGGCCGCGGCGGTGATGTATCTGGCAAAACAGCATGCCCAGGAACAGGAGGAAAAGCAGACGGTATACTTCAATGCGGGGTATAACTAGGACGAAGAGGCTGACACTATCGATCTAAGTGGTGACGGGATTGAGGGGACAATTAGTAATGACACTAATTAATTAACTATTATTTATTATAAAAACTTGAGTTTTAGAGAAAGTAACTCGTAGGATTTACACCAAAAGAGGAAATAGATTCCAGATTTTGTTATTTTAGAAACCGGCTTGAATCGATACTCCTTCGCAAATATCACATCCAAAAGGAAATTAGTTCCACCTAAATCCATTTTAGAGAGACTCTGGGCGAATAATTTGAGGGCTACACAGTGTTATCAAACCGAGGAGTGCCGGTTGCATAGCTCGAACGGCTGTTATTACAGACAGCCAGCCTCTCAATTCAGCGCTCCAAAACAAACCCAGGCATTTCGATTTGTTTTGTTAATGCTTTATTAGGGTAAGTATTAGCCACTTCTGGACTAGTTCATCGCCACCACTTATTTTGTTTTGTACATTGATAAACATATTTAAAAACAATTGGCCTTGAGCTGAGCGTTCGATATTTTGATAGATTACTAGGGCAGTTGAAGTTTGTTTAGAGGGAAAGTTATTAATAAGTTAAGGACACTTATGTCAATGTATGTTCATTTCATTAAATACAGTTCACTTTCAATCGTCTAACGTATATTTTTAATCAAAACAAGCATTTCCATGACTTTGTTTGCTAAATGTGTTGGGTGAATTATGGATCATATTTACGTGTCCCAATTTTCGCCCAGAGTGAACCTTCAACCATATTGAAATTTCAATTGGATCCTAAAATTCACATAGTCTTTTGTATATTTCCTCTCACAGACATCAGGACTAGGCTCTAAAAAAATGAACTGTACTTCTATTTATGATTTCTAATTAATATTATCATACATATATATCATGCGTCCGGACTATTTGGAGGAACAACACGTGCCAGTATCCAGACAGGTGAGCAATGCTCTGAACCTTGATAGAATTACCAAAAATCTCATTCGACTCCGTAACTCCATTCGGAGGCAATACCAGCGTTATGGCTTGCCTGTCTTGAAGACCCACTGTAATCACCTAACAAAAACCATCATCCTGGCTTGGTGAATCTCAGAAATCAGAACTTTGCTAACAGGATCCACTCTCTCCCAGATTGTGCAAAACCCTTTTGGAAACTAACCAAAATCCTTAAAAATAAGCGAGACCCATTCCACCCCTGACCCCACTGGAAAGTCCCGGCAAGCCAGTGGTTCAGCTGATAACTTCTTAAGAGAAGGCTGCCGCGATAGGTCAACACTTCATCAGCTCCCATAATCTCGGACAAAACATCGTCAGCCCTCACGAAACTCAGGTTGCTGAAAACGCAATCAACTTCCATCAGATTCCTAATATTTTTCCCGAGGAATCCGAGATTACGGGCTGACGACCTGTTGGCCTATATCAAATCATCTAAAAACATGAAGGCCCTAGGTTTCGACAACATCCTGAATTTGGAACTCAAACACTTGAGTTCCACATTCTACAACCATCTGGCACTGATTTTTAATCTGTGTCTCCGACTTGACTACATCCCCTCGTGTTGGAAGTCAGCTAAAGTCATGCCCATCCGGAAACCTGGGAAGGATCCGTCCTCTCCTTCAAGTTATCGATCAATCAGCCTTCTCTCAGGGTTATCAAAACTGTTTGAAAGAGCAGTCCATCACCGGCTCCTAGTATGTACCGAAGAAAATAACTTGTTACTCGAGAAACAGTTTGGTTTTCGGAAAGGTCGTTCGACCGTCCACAAGCTGACTCGTGATACAAACATTCTCAGACGGAACAAGTCTGTTTCGAAAACATCTGCCATGGCGTTGTTGGACGTTTAAAAAGCGTTCGACAATGTCTGGCATGATGGCCTGGTGTTCAAATTGCAGCAATACGGTCTTCCAATCTTCCTAGTGAAGATAATATATAATTATCTATCGGACAGAACGTTCCGATTCTCTCTGAATGGCATCACATCGGATGCTTTCAACATCGGTGCCAATTCACGTCTACAAGGGTTGGGTCATCGGAGCTCTGACTGCCAAACTTCAGAGAGGCCTGAACGACCTGTCTGAATATTTCAACAACTGGAAGATCCGTATCAACGCGGCAAAGACCCAGGACATCATCATCAGCGCTGTTCCCACTTGTTTGACTGCAAATTCAGGTCAATTGCAGTTCCACCCTTTTTCTTCAGTATGTGCTACTCAATTGTCCAGTATTTCTCAATTGGCCTTAGTTACGGAGTATTGACCGGAATAATCTCCTTGGAAACCACTGTGACGCCATTTTCGCTGTACTACTGTTTGGTGGGATCTGAGTGTCGTGACCGGACCGAGGTTTCCAGCCTTGGTCACGGCTACACGAATTAGCGATGCAGCTCCCACGGGTCATTTGTATATGCTGCTGCTGCTGCTGTTTCTTTTGCTGCTGTTTTTGCTGCTGCTGCTGTTGCTGCTGTTTCTGTTGCTGCTGTTTCTGCTGCTGGTGGTGGTCCGTCACCTCCAAAATTTCTTTTGCTGCTGTTTCTGTTGCTGCTGTTCCTGCTGCTGGTGGTGGTCCGTCACCTCCAAAATTCGTTACAAGAATAACATCAACGAGTTAGTTTTAGTTTAAATGATCTTTATTTTAGTTTAACTTGGACGATTACCATATAAATTTTTACTAAGTGATTTAATTGCTTTCTTCATCTTTAGGTATGGGCAAAATTCAAAATTTGTTTTACAGAATTAGTCCTAGACTTAGTACACGGTCGACCACCTTGGTGGGATTGGTTTGTTTTGTTTTTAGAATTTGAAGAGAAACTACTTAATACTACTATTTACAGCTTAAAACTAACCTACTCTACTATATACACTTAACCTACTATGTACAAATTGCTTATTAAAGCATGTTCAGAAAGATTGCATTTTTGAATAAATTTAGTTGTCATATCATCAATTTTGGAATCTACTTTGGGAATTTCTGCCTCTTGATGGAGGTCTGCTATTCTTGTGTCGAATGGACGATCTAGGATCATCCTCAACACTCTATTCTGTGCAACCTGGATTTTGTTCCTGTGGGTCTGAGCGCACGATTCCCACACCGGGGCGGCATAGAAGATCGCGGGGGCTATGATCTGTTTGTAAACAGCCAGTTTGTTTTGCCTTGAGAGGCGGGATCTGCGGCAAATGAGCGGATACAAACACCTAACCAAGGCGGAGCACTTAACTAGGGTTTTCTCTATGTGCGAGCGGAACAGGAGCTTCTCATCGAACAACATCCCGAGATAAGTAACATCAGTGGACCACTCGACCCTTGTACCATCCATTATTACGGTACAGGAGGGAGACGGTTTAAGTTTTAATGATTGTCTGTGAAGGAACATGATCGCTTGGGTTTTCGAGGCGTTGATTTTGATTTTCCACGTGGTGGCATAATCAGTAAAGGTGTCAAGGCATCGTTGGAGCTTGTTCGTAATTTCACGAGGCATCCTACCCTTGACGGCTATCGCGGTGTCATCTGCAAACAGAAAGAACACGCAACCGTCTCCTAGAGGAGGGATGTCCGACGTGTAGATGCTGTAAAGCAGTGGTCCCAGCAGACTCCCTTGCGGAACACCTGCTGGGATCGGAAATTGTCCCGAAAGGGAACTATTTAACGACACCCTGAACGACCTTTGCTGGAGATAGTTACGGGTGATTTTCACAAGGTATGGTGGAAAGTTGGAGTTACAAAGCTTGTATATAAGTCCGTCGTGCCAGACATTGTCAAACGCCTTTTCGACGTCTAACAAGGCCATGGCTGTGGACTTGGATACAGCTTTGTTACTCCGGATGTTATTCATCACCCGCACTAGCTGATGATTGGTGGAATGCCCCTTACGGAACCCGAACTGTTCCGGAAGAAGAATGTCATGTTCCTCCACAAACTTGTTTAGTCGGCTGAGGATCAATTTTTCGAACAGCTTGCTCAGCGCTGAGAGCAGGCTAATCGGTCTGTAGCTTGACGGTAGTGAAGGGTCTTTCCCAGGTTTGCGGATCGGGATGATTTTTGCCACCTTCCAGATGCTTGGAAAGTAGTGCAGCTCCAAGCATCTGTTGAGGATGGCAGGCAGCAGCGAGTGCACCCTCGCGCTGAGATTTTTCAACTCTAGGTTGAATATTCCGTCAAACCCGGGAGCCTTCATGTTCGTACTGTGTTTCAGCGCTGAGCAAATTTGTTCCTCTGTAATCCGTTCTTCTGGAGGGACGGCACAAGGGGACGCATCTAACGTCTGGACGCACTGCACAACCTGGTTCTCGAGTGGACTTGGGATTGTAGAGCCAAGCAAATGCGACTGGGCAATGTGCTCCCCAATTGCATTGGCCTTCTCTTCGTTGGTGATAAGCCGTTCGTCATTGACTCTAAGTGGTGGAATGGGCTTGGGGTGAGACTTCAGCACCTTGGCAACCTTCCAGAATGGTCTGGAACGGTCGTCCAGGTTCTGAAAGAGCCGCCCGAAACTCTCGTTCCGGATTGAGACCATTCTGGAAGCGATCTGCCGATTCAGATCGACCATTTCGTATTTACGCTGAAACTGGCGTCTACGAACATTTCTGAGCCGAATCAAGAGTTTGGTGTGGGAATCAATTGCTTGAAACTTACCCCTCACAGGAACTCGTCGAACGCACTCTTCGTCAGCCACGGATATGGCTTGATGGAGACCCTCCAGGGCCCGGTCGATGTCATCCACTGTGTCGAGCGGTGGGTTGTCGTCGATGTGGCGGTCGACCACGCGTCGAAACTGGACCCAGTTGACTCGATGGTAGTCCTTCCGCTGGCACGGTGCAGGGGCCACGTTGTAGCCCAGCTCGGTCAGCACCGGTTGGTGGTCCGAACTCAGGTCGTTGACGGCAACCGGCTTGGCTAATCTGGTGTTTGCCAAGAACAGGTCCAGCGTCGATGGGTTGCCCGTCGGTGATGTGAAGGTTGGTTCGTCCGGAAACCAGACGGAATAGAGACCATGCTGGGAATGGTCGAATAGCAGGCGGCCGTTCTGGTTCTGCTGGTAGTTCCGCCAGGCCTCGTGCC